ACTTAATAGAAAATGCAATTAAAACTATTGATTTCTTGATTAGATAATAAATCAGATTAGATATCATGTGTTAGCATACTTAAAGGAATGATTATGGGGGGTATATAAACTTTGTAAAAGTATAATAAATCAAATAAAGTTTGGTTTTAAGATATACGGATAAGATTATATAAAAATTCAAGGAAAGTGATGTAAAGTGTAATTCGTCATACAATTAATTAATAATTACAGGAAGGCAATACATAAAACTTCAAATTTAACGCAGATTATTATAATACAGTATTAAATCTTATGTGTTAATATCTGAACTAAAAAAAACTTTCAGAAGATTAAAAACACCATGACTGATATTTTAAACACATAAGTATAATTAAAAAATATTTTAGCAACGAACACATAATGTTTGCTCACAGTTTATTTTATTTTATTGATTGTTTTATATTACAAATTTTGTATTTTATATCTGCAAAATCTATAAATTTAAAGTGGTACGACTGTATATTTTTAATATTCTTATCTCTTCAAAGTCTCGAAATTTTGTATAAATATATATTATATATATAATATTATATGTGTTATATATAGTACTTACATATTGGGTTGTCCGGAAAATTCGTGTCGATGTTGAAAGAAAATTGAAACGCAGAAAATTTAAATTTTAGTATACATTTATTAAATTATATAGGTTTGTCACGAACTTTCCGGACAACCCAATACCTATTTCTCTGTTTGTTTCTATACGATTGTATTTGAAGAAATTAACTAATTCGTATTCATACAATTGAGTTTAGTACCAATAAATTTTATATACAGTATGTAAGCATCAAATTTCAGTTCATCATGACAAATTCGATTATGCGTAACGATGACTTTGTTCAATTAAAATTTTCTCATTTTACGTTCTTGCTAATTTTGCGGAACTCGTATTCGCAAACTCTATTTCCTTTTCCACAGTAAGTCGATTGCTGTAAAATTTTCTTTTAATTTTTCTATCAGCACGTTTTTACAGATTCTCTAAAATGACGACGATCCATATATCTTATAGACTGCTTTCTGTTTCGCTTATAATCTTTTGATTCGGAGTTCAAAACAGTACCGAGCGATTTTCTCTGCGTCCTAAAAATCTAAATAGATCTAACAGAAATATAAAAAGAGATAGAGTAGAATGGAGAATAAAAGCAAGGAGATTTAAGCATAAAATAAAATCAGAAAAGGATAAGAAAATTTGACAAACGCGAGTTGGGAAGAAAAGAAGAAGAATAGATGTATACGGACAGAAAAGGATGAGGTATTACAATAGGAATAGAGTATAAAAGAGAAGTGATGCATGGGGAAGAAGATTTTGAGGATCAATTAATAAACAGGGAAAGAGAGGTGGGAGAACTGCAAAATTCGTAAGGCAAGGTACAATGAGAGATATAAGGAAATAGAGGCAAATAATAGGGTTCCGGAATATTTGAGAAAGAAAACTTAGGGGAAGGGAAAAAAGGAGAAGAGGTGAGAGCCTTGTTCAAATTAAGATGTGGGAACTTGGAGGAAGGTAATAAATATTGAGTAGAAAAGCAGAAGAAAAAGTATATTCTGTGGTAAGGGAAAAGATAATTTAAAGCACTAAGTATGTAGAGGAATGTTCGGAAATAAGAGAAAGATTTATTAAATTAGAAAAAGATAAGGAAAATCTTAAGGAAATTGTATGATGAGGATTTAGATGAGGTGAAAGGAGAAATAATAAGGAAATTATAGAAAGAAAAGGAAGAAGCAAAAAGAAGAAGGGAGATGAGGAAAGACTCAAAAGAGGAGGGAGGAAATGTATAGGTAGAATGATGGTATGGATAGAAAAGGAAAATAAGTAAGGTGAATTAAGGAGTAAGTAGTGCCCTTATTCATAGTTAGGTCTTATATTTAAAGCTTCCTTAAATTTATCTTCAGATATACTGTACGAATTATTTCATTGGCTGCTGAGCATCTAAAACTAAATTTAAGGAAACCTTAAATAAAGATCTGACTATAAATACGGGCATAAGATATAAGTATGTGATAATAATAGACGGTAATAAGATTGTGATATAGAGATATCATGATAGAGATAATATGTATTGAACGAGAATATATAATATTGGAAGTAGATATAGCTATGAGAAAAAAAGCGAATAAAGCGAAAAGAAATAAAATAGGTAAAGAAGCGAAGTCAGAAAGACTTTAACTAGAAAAGTAGGAAAGTAAAGGAATAAGTATAAAAAATTTATAATAATATATGTGCGATAGTTTGCGGACGAGGTATGAAAGTGTGAATGAGTTAAGTATTTATGTCCCCTAAATCAAGTCCCTTTCTTGATTGTATATACTGAAATGTAATAAATTCTATTCTATAAAAAGAGATAGAGATAGGCAGATGTTCCTTTGTCCGAGCAATAATAATCAAAGATCCGTACGACGGACCAAAACTCTAGTGCGTCTAATCTCTACCTGCGGACCATTTTAGACCATTTAGAAACAATGAATAACTCAGTTATTTTACATTATTTCTGTGAACAGCTTTGGTAATATATTTTCATAACTATCAACTTTCCGAAAATGCAATTAAAAAAAAATCGATTTTTTTGACCCGACAAACTAGACCTCCTCCTCCCCCCCCCTAGGATACTCCAATCAGGTGATCAGATTCCGGTTGCGCAAATATCCGCCGATTGATAGCATTCTCGTGCGGAATGCGAATGTACTGCGCACACGACTGCGCACGGGACGTGACGGGATACCGTCGAAGCCGTCCAGAAGGTCCAGAAGCTCCGGATGTCTGGACTGATGAGCGAAAAATGACGTCTGACAAGTGAAGATCTAACCTTCCTTGTTTTATATATTTACCAATATATTTACACTGTATTTTTTGTGCACGTTGCAACACCTCCCACAGAGGCTACCATGGTAAAGAGATTCGAGCGATCTCGCTGTATCCGCGATAAAAAGATGGCACGCCCGTGTCTTATTTTATCGGGGTACCGCGTAGAGCTTGTCAAATGCGTGAGAAAAGTGAAAGAGAAATTTGCGAAAAGTGCGCGAACATTTCTAGGACGACGATGCGGCCGCTTTGCAGAATCTGGAACAGCTCATGACGGAGTTCTTCTGTCCGGAGACGACGAACGAGAGGAAACGCACGATTGAGCGCAGCTTCCAGGAATTCGCCGGGCAGATCGACTCCTGGAAACCCTGTCTACATTTTTTGTCCTCCACGAGCAATCACTATGTCAGTATGTTTGCTCTGTCCACTTTGGAGGTAATTATGTGAGCTACTTTACAGATAAAAACATAGGATGCTTTACAGCAAGATTACACAGTACATGCTTTTCATTTAATGACAAGTCAATACAATAAGCATCAGTCTTTGAATATTTTCTATTTAGTAACACAAGTCATCTTTCTTGGCATGCAGAAAGTAATAATGAAGACACTTGTATCTATTACTTAAAAAATCACGTTACTGGAAAGTATTCATTGTAATACAGTGAATCATTATATCCTTGTTGTTTGATAATATTAAGCAAAAATGAAATGATTACTGTATTATACTGTATGCCTTGCTGGAAAGCACCAATAATATTTTTTTCGGCGATGCGATACTTCTCAGACTGAATTATTTGCCAGACAACTATCAGCAGACGATGGCCCATCCTTCCCTGGGAAGATAGAGCTCTTACAAGATCCACTTTGTATACACTGTCATTGGAAAGGGACGTTGCGTCTTTTGTGAGAAATAAAGTAGTGAAATTGGTAGTGGATATAGCGAGACACGACTGGCCGCATTTCTATCCAGATTTTTACTCTAATATTTTACAGGTTTGTGAATAGAGAATATCTACATTGATAATAAAATATATAATATGAATTTGGCTATATATTACGTTGCTTTCTGTGAAACAGTTGCTAAGCCATAAACACACAAGACTGCTGGGACTCGTATATTTGAGAACAGCTTCAGAAGAACTAGCCACGCCGAGAGAGGATTTACCAATGCACAGGAAAAGCGAGCTGTTCAGACTATTAAGTGCACAAGTGCCTCTAACTTTGGATACACTTACAGGTATATTACCAAAGTTGAGGATACCTTACAAACACGTACATGTAATATATGAAATCATTAATGATTTCATAATTCACTTTGTTACTTTTAATAGTTCTTTTGAAAGAAACTACAAAATTGCAAAGCCGTTCTGGAACAGTGACACCACCTCCATCACCTACCAGTGGACAAAGTCTTGCACCTGCACGTACAGTACTAGATGTCGAGGGATTAGCAATAGGTACTAGTGAAGTGTGCACAGCTACTCTTGAAGTTCTGGCACATCTGTTTAGTTGGATAGACGTATCAGGCAATATTTCCACTAACTTATTAGATGCCATTTTTTCATGTGCCAAGTATCATGATGCAATGGTAAGATTTTATTTTCATGGAAGAATAATAGTAGCAGATTGAGATAAATTATGTATTTGTCAACGTTTTCAGAATAGCAAGCAAATTGAGATGGCGGTTCAAGCTTTAACTACAATCAATGAACTTTTATACAGACCATTCTGTTCGCCTGACGCAACTGACACCTTATTGTTGGAGATATTTCAGAATGGTGTTGGTTTATTCCAGTTAATGGAACGTCTGGATTCGGTAGAGGAGAGGTATGCACCAAATGCATTTTCAAAGAATTTTGATAAGTTTTCAATATGCGAAATAAAATTTTCATTCTTTCAGCTACATGGAAAAAATGACAGAGTTTTTGCAATTATTTATAACAAATCATATGAAAAGGATGGAATCGAGCTCAAAATTTCCAGTAAATACATTATTGGAAGTCCTGTGCCATCACACATTCCAACAAGCTTCTACTGTAAACGGATATTTGCGTTGTCTAGACGTTTGGACAACTCTTTTGGAGAGCACTCAATCGCGATATTCTGCCGTCGCCTTAGCCCTTGCGGAACGGATTTTACAAAAAATGAGTTTTAAGCTCAATGCTCGAGTATTGAGAGATCTTGACACGGAAAGTCTAGACGAGAATGTAAGTTTAATTACAAGTGTTGTATAAACTTTTATTTAAATCACTAATTATGCCTGTATTATAAATATAATTATTATGTAGTTAAATAGTAGTTAAATATTATAAAGTCTGTTTTTTATTTTTGCATTAGATTACACTAGAATTCTTTTTCTCGCTTTCAATCGAATATCAAACATATATTTATCTTACTATAAGTTCCAATTGTGTACACTAGTGTATAGTCACAGAAAATAGACTCATTAATTATTATATACATAATTGTTAATATTTATATATTACATACAATTCGATAATTATATTTATTTAATATTATATATATATATATATATCAATAATTATGTCTATATTATATATATTTGTAGAAAATTTCATGATCTTTTTTTCAGGAAGAAACAGAGTGGCAACACTTTCTAAGATGCAATATAGAATGTTTGGCAAAAATTGCTGACATCTCACCTATCCCAATATTTACACTATTGGTAATTTTTAATTGGCAAAATATATCTATGTCTTTATTATGAAAATATTTATAATATTAGATATTTTTTAGTACCATTCGTGGAGAGAAGGATTAATTATTTTCGGTGAATTAGGCGCGGCAGTTGCTAATGGCCAAGTCATTTTATTAAATGATACAGAGGCATCAAATGTACATGCACATCTGAGAGATCTTGCATCAACTACACAAGCTTTAACTAGACTATATTCTCTTTTCATCGGTAAGCAGTTAAATGATTTATCAATTTTTGATTTTACAAAAAAATATAATTATCTATGTCAATAGGAGATCAAACAAATATCGATCAAAGCTTAGCAGAGGAAGTTGTATCACAAACTCTGGAGGCGTGTATGTTTGCGAGAGATAATCAGCTATATAAAGCGGCGATTCAACCATCTGCTATCGTAATAGATCTCATAGAAGTGTAAGTTCTTGACTAGTTCTTATATGTTTTTATATGAACAATCAATAATATATAGTCATAATGATGATGTACTTATGTATTGATTTGCGCTATTAGACATTCACAGCTTTTGGCTTCTCTTCAAGCATGGTGTCATTGGATAGCCAGAAGACCGGAAAAGGCTAAGGAAGCATTCTGTCAGCGTTGCATCGATTCGTGTGTTTGGGCAACGACGTACACTGCATCCTGTGATCATTCACCTCCTGCAAATCTCATTCACTCTGCCATTCATCTTTTCCAAAGTATCACCGCCATTTTAAAGCCCATCTTATGGGACCAACCAACTTTCCGGAATCTAATTTCTATGGGCACGTATCCGTACTTGAAATCAGATACCATTAAAGTTCTACGTAGGGCATTGATAAATGGGATTATATTATCACCTGGTGATGCAGCAACAAGGCAAAGGTTATTGGGTAAGTCATTATTTCGTAAATCTTTGCAATTATCTTTTTTTTTTTAACAAAAATATATAAAAATTTGAAATGTTTTGCTCTTAGGTACTATGATATTAGCTCTGTCAGCACCTTTGGGTATGCAAGGACAACCAGTGCCTTCTGAATCGACAATTTCGATTACGATAATGCCACTGACTCAGCTACTAGAAGACTGTGCGTCATCGTCAACAATTATAAAAAAGATGTTGCATTCATGCTTAGAATCAATAATAAACAGGACATTAGAATTATTGTCTTATGTGATAAGGTGTCAGAGTATATGTGAATTATTACTTAACTTTTTACACTCGGCATTTTCAGTATTACAACAACAATTAGGTCCTGAATTTACGCAAAACGCTGTTCAAGGCATGCTGCAACTTTATACCAGGTTTATATAAAATATTATAATATGAAAGCAAAGAACTATTTAATTCTCAAAAAATAATATTAGATTATTACCCAAATAATAAAAATATGTTCGTTAATTTTTTTATTTTACTAAATAATACTTTTTATGAATTTTATTTTTATTTTATTCACTTATATTAAATTTTTCCTGAGATTATAGTTAAAATAAAAATTTTTATTAGTATTTTTAATTAAAAAATTGTATAGTTTGTTATAGAATTTTAAATAGAAAATATATTGCCTTCTAAAGATTGAATGTCACGATTTTAATAAAAAATATAAATTGTCTCATTCATAGGGAAAATATTTCTGCTGGTCCTGCATTGGACCAGTTACTGGAAATTTTAATACTCGTCGTATCAGCACCCAGCAATGCATTTAAAGCATTTGTTCCTTCAGTAACAAATCTGTGTTTAGGTCAAGTATGGCCTGCTATTGGAAACAATCTAAGTGCTCATCCAGATACGACGTTAGTTTTATTGAAACTCTTTCACAGGTAATATTGATAATATGATAGTACACATATTCTTTTTTTTTAAAATCACAAGTTTTGTATTACTTTTTAGTATTCTTATGCACCGATGGCAGTATTTCTATAATACTTCGGTATTGCGGACTCTTGGACATCCTGAAGAAGATGAACCTGTCGAGCACAAAGAAGAATTGGTAGCAATTTTGGAGGCTTTTGGTCAAGCTCTACTTCAGTCAGACGTCAATATATTCCGACAGAGTTTGCAGAGCCTTGAACAATTAAATATCAGATGGCGACTTTATCAACGGGCTGTATTCAAGGTTCATCTTCTCGAAAGATTTTTGATGGCATTATTCACAGTTTTATTTCAACAGTGGGTATCGATATTCTTTTTACTGATATTAATAATATGTTAACTTATATTAATAATGTGTTCATTTATATCTTGTTTAATTTACAGATCCCATAATTTGTTGGCAGACGAGATAGCTGCGGCTATTCACAGTCTAGCATCTGTTAACATAGGATGGTTCTTTGGCCATTTTTTGCCAACATTCTTGACAACTTGTGAAGGCGTAGACGATATGCAGAGAGCCACCTTATTGGAAAACTTTGATAAATCCACGGTATGTTATCCTTAATATCCGATAATATAAAAAATAAGCACGCATTAAAATCATATAAACTATTTATATCTTCTTTTTTAGGATCAACCAACTTTGACTAGATCAGTACTCCAGCTCATTTCAGATTTAAGATGTTATCAGCTGTGTAGACCAGGTTAAAGCGAATTGCGACTCGAAACGATATTCACAATGAAATTATTCCATAAGACTTCTACAGTGGCATTTAAATGAAACATCAACATTTCCACCGAATCTCTCCTATGAGTGCCTCTAAATACCGATACAAGAGACATTTAACTGTAATGAAACGAAAAAAAGACAAACGACAAACCTTTTGTAAAGATTTACCATTCTGTGTATACCACTGCCGCACCATCTTTTTGTGATGTTATAAATGTTATTATTGCGAATAAAACGCATCTTTTTATATGTCTATAATTGTCTGTTTTTTATAAATAGAAAGATTTTCTAATTATATTTATTGTTCTAAATTTTACAGAAATATTTGTTTCTAATAAAATGGATAAACGCTAGAAAATAATACGTGCTTTATTACAAAGATTCATTCAACAAGTTGCTAATAGTACAACTTATTTATATCATTACTGCTGTGTTCAGATACAGTGCTAATATTTTTGTATTCTTATCATCTTTCTCGCCTCCCTCTCTTCTTCTTGATAAATAGAAATAGTCTGATAAGCCAAGTATTTTATTGATACTTTGTGCTCGGTTAGTCAATAACAAGCGATTGATAATGTCACGTTTATTACTACGAAAAGGTGGTTGCCATATTTCCCAATTTCAGATGACGAGATACTTAGTGACCGATCCGAAGTATGGATTTTTAAAACAATTAGGTATCAATATCGAAAATCCCGGTCTCTATGACGGGAGATGGGGTGGATCTGGCAAGGTATGTGACATTAATCTCGTCTCAGATAATAATCTTGTCGAGATAGAGTGATTACATTATAGAAGTCTGAGAGAATCTTAAATGAATTATGTTATAACATGAAGAAACATTAAGCGATTTACCACAAAATAAATAAAGACAAATAATTAAACTGATATTAAATTCAGTTAATAGAATCAATATCGCCGGCGACCGGCAAAGTGATAGCAAAGGTTCGCGAGTCCACGCCGCAAGAAGCTAGCAATGCTATAACAGAAGCACGTAAAGCGTGGCCACAATGGGCATCCATACCGATGCCAGCCAGAGGAGATATTGTACGGCAAATTGGGGACGAGCACAGAAAACATTTGGAACCATTGGGACGCTTAGTATCCTTAGAAATGGGTAATTAAATCATTTCAGTAAGCGTTACAATTTTACTTGCTATACAACCCGTAATTGTAAGTCGAAATGTTTATAGATCTATTTAATTAACACAAAGTATATGATATCATAGGCAAGATATTGCCAGAAGGTATAGGTGAGGTCCAGGAATTCATCGACATATGCGATTATGCAGTCGGCTTATCACGAACATTACCCGGTAGCATATTTCCGTCGGAGAGAAAGAATCACGCGCTACTGGAAAAGTGGAATCCTTTGGGCGTAATTGGCATTATCTCCGCATTCAATTTTCCTATAGCAGTGAATATAATTCCCAGAGAGAATCTTGTAATCACTCCACTTAAGAGCTTACAATTTATTTTAATTTATTGCCTTTTAAGGTATACGGCTGGAACAGTGCTATCGCTTTGGTCTGCGGTAACACCGTCGTCTGGAAAGAAGCGTTGAGTACACCTTTGATAGCCATCGCGACCACCAAGATAATCGCGAGCGTCTTGGAGCGCAATGGTATCCCAGGTTCCGTCGCATCCTTGATCACGGGTGGACCAGATGTTGGAGAGACTCTGGTGAATGACAAACGGTCAGTTCTGATCTAGACTTATTACATTATTATGTATGTCGTATTGAACAGGTTATTAACGATGTCATTAGAGTACCTCTCATTTCGTTTACCGGAAGCACGAACGTAGGAAGACAAGTCGCTCTCAAGATTCAGGAAAGATTTGGAAGATCTCTACTGGAGCTTGGTGGTAACAACGCATTAATTGGTACATGTCTCCTTAAAATATCAATTCCGTAATGTCGCTTATACCATGGATAACGTATTTGTAATTATTTCTCTCAACAGTCGCACAGGATGCCGATTTAGAAATGGCAGTGAGAGCAGCGGTCTTCTCATGCGTTGGAACAGCTGGACAAAGATGTACCACTACCAGAAGATTAATATTACATAAGAAGATAAAGGACGAATTTCTAGGTAGGTATAAATATAAATGAGAATATTTAATCATCATTACATAGAAATTAGTAGGGAAATTAAAAACGGCATATAAAAGCATAATGGATCGAGTCGGAGATCCATTAGATGAGGGTGTGCTGTATGGACCGTTGCACAATCAGCCAGCGGTTGACGCATATAAAGTATGTACATCAATTTTCTTTTAAACAAAATGAAAATTTATCTTTTTTTAGTATATATGAAAGAAAAAAATTTTTTTGCTTAATTTAATACTTTTCACTGTAGGCAGCAATTCAGAAAGCTGTAGAAGCCGGTGGCACGATAGAATTCGGTGGAAAACAAATACAGCGACCTGGTTTCTATGTCGAGCCAACGGTCATTTCAGGTTTACCGGCTAGAGCTGAAATAGTGCAACAGGAAACTTTCGCTCCAATCGTTTACATCTTAGAAGTAAACTCTCTGGAGGAGGCTATCGATTTTAATAACGGCGTTGAGCAAGGACTGAGCAGTAGTCTTTTTACTAAAAGTATTGGAAATGTATTTCAGGTAAATGTGTAAAAACTCATATGCTGTTGGCAAATGCGTTACAATACCAATTAATTTATACAATGTATAAATAGAATATATTATATACTTATCGAATTTCATTCGTCATACAGTGGATTGGCTCTCATGGATCAGATTGTGGAATAGTCAATGTCAACATTGGTACTAGCGGTGCCGAGATAGGCGGCGCGTTTGGTGGTGAAAAGGCTACGGGTGGAGGCCGTGAGAGTGGAAGCGATGCATGGAAACATTATATGCGACGTGCTACTGTTACGATCAATTACGGAAATGAGCTACCTTTGGCTCAGGGCATCAAGTTCGAATAAATTAAACAGGCGTGTTTTTGCAAAAATGAATTAACGCTTTAATTCAAATCGTATAAAATCCACTTGAATATCGATAGATGCTTTTTTGTGAAATTTATAAGCTCTCGGCAAATCGTATCTGAGTTCGGCTATCACTGTTCCTCTCGCGCCGAGTTGTGTCGCTTTTGATAGAACGTAATCTCGTGTGCTGCTTTTATGCAGAGAGTAAACTGTATTAGACGAAAGCCTGATTGCTGCTTCCAAGAACTTTATGTCAATGCCGGCGTTGTTTTTAGTGCCAAAAGGTGGATTCATTATAACAGTATCAAAGTATTTTTCAAATTTTCCTGTAACATGAAATAATACATATGTATTTTTATATTTGTAATAAATATAATCAATAAGATATTTATATTTGTAATAAAAATACTAACAATAGGCCCAAAAGATTAAATCCAATGATATGTATGAATTTTTTATAGCGAGTATGAAAACGATATTAACATATTTGAATGCTCAACAATAAATCATTATCCGTCGAGCATTTGAACTGTTAACATCGCTTTTTATACTCGCTATAAAAAATTTTAATTCAATAACGGAGTAGGTGTATCCCATGTTTTTCTGATTCAACGTAAAAATTGCCAAATTTGATGTACAACTGTCCGTTAAGATTGGACACAGTTGTCATAATGTGATCTTACTAATAACTAATTATTTTTGTATCATTAATTTATGTACTGAAGAGGATTCGAAACGTATACAATTGGTTAATAAAGCTTTGATTGTATTACACATTAATATCTTGTATTGGCTCATATTGACATTTATATATAATATCATTGGATTTATATCTATAATAAATAGAATGAATAAGATAATTATATCATAATCAGTGTTAATCTTATAGTTATTATATCATAGTCAGTGATTACTTTAGTAAATATATACTTATTACAGTTTGTATAGTCAACATACATTTGCCAATGGCGCAACATCTCAAGATGGGCCTACCTTTCACGAGATTTTTGTAACAATGGATTATTTTCTGGGAAATTAGTTAACTTAATATCCAAGTCTGGGAGAATCTATACATATATTCAGTGACTGATATATGGGACTTACAGTTTAACGCCAGATCTGAACAGTGCTGATGATCAAAGATCTTTTAATTACCAGATGGAATCATTTTTGGTTTCTTAAAACGCGAAAAATCGCATATGTGGGCATACCCAGAGCTTGAACCCAGATCTACAGATTGTAAGTCAATCGCACTGATCGGCAAGACACTTGACGCCTCAATCTAATGTATACATTTACTAAAGTTAATATTTTGACTGTAACGTACATATATATAGATATATAGATACCTGGTAAATATTGCAGCACATCACATTGTACGACTTCAACAAAAAGTTCTATGTCACTGCAATTTCTATATTGTATGTCAATTGCCTCAGAATCTATCTCGAATCCAACTACATATTCAGCATCAAGCATCTTGGCACCTAATGACAATGTACCACATCCAGAACCTAAATCAGCCACGCTTTTACCTTTTATATCATCAAACTGCGACTGTGCAGTGTATAACAAATGTGCAGCAATATGTGCACTGGTGGCATACTGCTCGAGTGTGACTTTTGGGTTTTCAAACACATCCAGTTGCTGTAGATATTCCTCTAATTGACGAAGTCGAAGTCCAGTCATTATCTACTTGAAGATTGTGATTTCTCAACAGATTCTTGTTACAACAAATATTTATATAAAAAAGCAATCTAATTCCTTGACATAAAAGATTCTCGTTAACATTGTGGGCATATAGTCTTTAATAATTTTTGTCTACGCGTTTATACATAGATGACTCATTTATTATCAAACCTAGGGAGAACTGGTAATATCAGATTCCCAAAGGAAGAGTCCTGCGTAACGAAATAACCAAACGAAGCTGCATGTGCATTATGCAATGCTGCTCTTGCTGACGCACTCATTGCTACTCCATCATTGGATTGTGTTGCAGGCTATAAAAAAATTATATGCATTAAAAATCTGTTTTTTTTTTTACAAATTAAACTTGCAAAGATTTTTTTTTCTTTTTTCATCTCCACATTAAAAACAAAAAAGAAAGATAAATGGTACAAGAAATTTAGCTAAAAAAAAAAAGAAACAGGAATATCCTTTTAATTATCATTGATAAAGAATATTTACTATATTTGATACAGAGCCAGTTGATGAAACTCCCAATGTATTTAAAGTTGGTGCGACTCCTTGTTTCAGAAGCATCTGCTTCTTCAACTGTAGCTCCTCTAAGATCTTTCTATTCTGCAATTCTACAGATAAGAGCAAAGTGAGAAAAATATTAAAAATGTGTAAAATATAAAATAAGAAGAATATTGAGTTCTCATTAGAATTACCTCTTGCATTCGGTTGTGAAAAAGCCATCAAATTTATATGAATAATTCAATATTTAAAACAATGACGCGATCGTGCATATAGGTTATATTTTTATTAAACTTAACCTTTACAGATGATCTGAGAAACAGATTTTTCGGTAAGCGTCCCATTGGATTACATTGCAATTGATCTCCGATCAGATTAAAAACTGGATATTTTACGGGACAGTTTATGTCCTTCTTTGTTAAAATTTAAAAGTAAGAAACTGACAGCACAGTATTTAATGATTTATTAATTTTATAGATACGTTTATACATTTAAAATTCAATAATACACGATTTTTAAAATTGTGATTTTAATGTTATCGTCCGAGTTGCGATTACCAACGCATGATTAAACTGTGGTTCCGCGAAATATTGTCAACGGCGCCAATATCGCTCAAACGGTTCGAAATTCAGTGGAAACTCGGACAACGGCGGGGGCTGCGCATGCGTCGGAAATGCGCAGCCGCGAGACGCCACCTTGCGGGGGCCAGTCCGATCGCAGAAGTGATCCCGAGGTGTTCACCGATAGTTGGCGATCGTCCCGGTTTTCACGCGATAAATCTTCTTCGTCGCTCCCGACTCAAGCTGTCTCCCACAGTTATCGCTGCTCCGTGAAACAGACGTGAGTATTCGCTGAAAGGGCTCGATTACGGATTGCAAAACATACGATGGTAACCCCGGGGACGCGGAATCTCGAGGGGGGGCGTCGAAAGCGAGGACCGGTGGCGAGAGAGAAGCGGTGGCGGCGGCGGTGGTGGCGGCGGTCACAGACGAGTGACGGGTTCTGGCAAAATGGCCGTGCGCGATATACAACAAACGGTCATCCCGCATGTCGCGACGGTGTTCGATACATTCATTCGAATCGTCGGGCACGAGAATCGCGTTGATAGTTGCTCGGACGAGCGTGCGCGCGCGCGCGCTTGTCCGACGTCGACGTCAGCGTTCTCGTCTCCGCGACGCTTCGAATACCGTTGTCATCGGCCACCGTCGCCGTCATCGGGGGGATTCTTCTCGGAGCGCGACTGTCGCGCGCGCGTGAGGGAGAAAAAAAAAAGAGAACGAAGAGCGTCCGGACCTTGTCTGTGGACGGTGTATATGCACGCCGCACGTCACCAGACGCGAATTGATTTTCTGCGTGAACTGGCCTCGCGTCACAATCGTCGTCAGGCGTGCGTCGCGCAGCAACCTTCTCCGAGAGAGACGTCTCTCGGTAACGGCGCAGCATCCTTATTTTGTCGGCGACGCGTGAGCTACTTTGACAGATAGTTCCGATAATGTATGATCAGCTGTCATTGCGACTTTGCTCTCTCCTCTCTCTTTCTGTGTGTTTGTTTCTGTCTACCTGTCGATCGAAGACGCGCGAAGCGAGCCCGAGACCTCGGGCTCCATCATCGATCGTCGATGCCATTTCCATCGCATTAAATCTCTCTCTCTCTCTCTCTCTCTCTCTATATATA